AATGATATCCCGTATGGACTGCAGTGTGGGGTGACAACTAGGGGTGTGCAATCAGAGGGTTCCCCCTCACATCGATGCAGGTTAGCTGTGATACTGAGTATCCTTTTCAAACCTGAAGAGCTCTGTATGCACTCAAAAGAAGTTGATCCAATGAAAGATATTGCCTCACCCACTTTGTCACTGTAGTAAAATGTGTAAATTATAATCCTCCTAACACCCTGCTTGCTTCAGTTAAATATTAATGATAAAGCTCCACTGTGACTACTTAAATACTAAGATTCAAATTTTGTTGTGAGAGAAGCTTTGAACTGGAGTCTGGTTTCCGTGTTTGAATTTCCAGTAGCAGAGTTCAGGCCTACTATGTTGTTACTTCATAGTATCCTGTCCCAAGTGATTTGTGCAGCACCTAAGAAGCTAAAGGCTTATCTTCCTACCTACTGTTTAGTTGATGCATGGAAACCAGAATCCTGATCTAGGTTCGTCTCCTGCACCTAGATGCAAGATGTTGCTTCTAATGTATTTATGTCGCAATACGGTTCGATCCAAGCCACCGTGGTAATGTTCACATGTCCCATTTAAAAGTATACCTCTAAATGGTTAAAAATTGTCCCATTCTGAAAAGCTTGTGATGTAACACGTAAAAAAGTTTGGGTGAAAGCATCAACAGAATTTGTCATACCTCTGTGCATATCTACTGGCTATACAGTCAAAATAAAGGATCATTTTGCCTTACCTGTATATTTGTTATCTCAGAATCCCTCAGCCAATCCACCAGCCACTGCATTATCCATGTTCACTTATATTAATGAGGTATTCTTATGTAATTTTTCCTTTTGGGTCCAAATCTGGCCCAATAAGGAACTACATGTGATCTTCCCTAGAGAGTATTTCCTAAACAGACTAGTCTGGAAAGCAAGAGCAAAGATAGAAGAAAGCGAGGGATCCAGGACTGGCAGAGGAATTCTCTACAAGACTAATTTACAAGTAAGACAACTGTCCTCATAGGAGAGTCACTTTGCTAATAATGCTTCCACCAAACACTGGAAAATGACAAGCAGTGGATAAGGGTGGACAGTAAATAAAATAAGTTAAATGTGTGTAAAGAGTGTTTTTTAAAAAATAATACTGAATAAGCTGAAACACCAACAACAGAGATGAACTCAATGGAAAAATAAGAAGTGAAGTTAGTCTGTTAGATAGGAGGGATGGTTCATAGAATCAAGAAACCAAAGGCAGCATCAACAGACCTTATAGCATTTGGTAAAGGAGTTCAGTGAGGCCCTAATAGCAGCTATGCAGACCTCCTAATAAGAAGTGCTAATTCTCTGACCACAGATAGGAACAAAGTACAATGGACCCTTATCCCCAAGAAAAGCACTAAGTGGCACGCAGTATATTAATCTTTTTTTGCACTCTGAACACAAAGGGAAATCATAGTCCTGGAAACCTTAATACCTCATTTTGTTATAGCCACAAGCAATATAAAATAAAAAGAAGTCGGTCCAAAAAGTATACGTCCTATCTAATAATTAATGGCTCTGGCAACATCTAATGGATGCATGGTGATCTCTTTCAGACAAGGAAGGGAAATGTTTTGATTAACACAGAAAGAACAAACAAAGAAATTATGTGGTGAGTCTAAGGATAATCTTTTCATGGAAAAACTAAATGTAGTAGCACTCCGGGCTGAAGTAATGGTGACAAGAGTAAGCACCTTCACAGCCAGGAAGTACAAGAACTGGCCCAGGGGCTTGAAACATGGCCTTGAAAGAACCTTAAGAATGAAGCTGAAACTCCACTACACTACAATAGAAAACCCACAGTGCTGAGTCTCAGAGCCAAGGTCTACTGACTCGGGCTAGTGGAGCTTGGGCTGCGAGGGCTAAAAATTGCAGACATTTGGACTCAGGCTGGGGCCTGGCCTCTGAGATCCTCCCACCGTGTTTTCCCATCTGAGAAAAACACTATGATGGCAGAACAGAATGTCTGAATAAGAGTTACATTCCTAGCCAAACACCAAAGAAAGTAACACTTAAATGCAGAGTGCTCTCCTGACAGCATTAGGAAATTGACTATATGAGAGCAATAATCAAAGGATTGTAGAGTCACTTGTCAGCCTCCAGGCTTCTAGGCAGAGACTGGTGAGGTTCAGGTATAGGACCTGGCCCTGATGAAAAGAACTTTGGGCTGAGGAAAGAGCCAGAAATCATAGATAGATATGTGAAAGAGGCTGGTGAACCAAGGTCTTCTGGGCCTAGCGGCAGCTATGAAAATAACTTTGGACTGGTCCCTCTGGATCTTCCTGGCAATGCCCAGGAGGAGTAGAGGAGGAAAGACATACATGCAAGGTCCTGACCATGCAAAAAAGAAAGCACCCACCCCTCCAGTTGTAGGAATCCTAGTGTCTGGAGCAAACCGTGAGTTTGTCTGGGGGGCAGGGAGGGGGACGTGTCTGGTTGGTTGAAGTGGAAAGCAAGAAGTTACATCTCTTAGGGACTGCAGGACTTGAACCCCAATCCACAGGATTCTTAGGCGCTAGTAAGCTGCAACCTGCCACCGAGTGACTGCTAACAAATTCCAAGGGCTGAATCCCGACAGAGGACTCCAGTCCTGGAACCTAACTGGCAGATTGCTAGGGGTCCTGATTGGTCCACAACTTTTATCTAAACCCAGCAGTGGATCCCTGTTGTACAAAACTGGGATCCACCCTGCTCTGGACCATGTGCTTCCTGCTCCCCTGATTTGACTTCCTGGCATCCCAACCCACTTGACTTCTTGCATCTGACTTGTGGTCCCAATATCTGGTTTGTCTCCTACCTCTGACCTTTCGGTATCCTGACCAAGCCCGATTCTGACTCCCGACCCATGGTTCTGATCTCCAGTTTGTCTCCTGCCTCTGACCCCTGGTATCCTAACCTGGGCTGACTCCGGTTACAGATTCATGGTTCTGCCCTCAAGTTTGTCTCATGCTTCTGATCTCCTGGTATCCTGATCCAAAACGTTTCTTGACTCCCATCCCATGACTGTGGACCCTGGCTCTGACCACTAAGTATGGCTGCCCACGACCCAGCCATGACAACATCTGACAAAGTCTTGCTGCACCACCACCTTGTTCAGTTGCCTCTTGCCCAGAACTGTCTCCTGCCTCAGTCAGTCTATGTGGACATGAAGCTGTTCTGGATATACCTATCTGATATCGATAGGCGAGCTCTTTCCACTTTGGACAGAATCTTTATGATCTAATGACAAAGAGAAGGGCTTCTGGTCTTTCCCTGTTAATCTACAGACTCTTGGAGCTTGATTGTTTATTTCTAACAGGACTGCAAATATGATGATGTAAGGAAGAAACAATAGAAAGCCTAGTCCCACAGCCTGAAGCTTCAAGAAGATGTTATTTTTTTGTGCTTCAATCTTCAACCAAATGCTTTGACATGATGTAGGGCCCTGAGACTACCACCTATCATGATTCCACTGGCTAAAAGGACTGAGTGTGGTTTCCAAGATGAGAGGTTCTTCTTGACAAGACACTGCTTGAGGAATTTCCACACAATTCTGTAGAAGAATCAATTAGATGAGGGACTTTTCTTGTGATGCAACAAATGAATAGGCACATGTAGATAAGCCCCCTCTTCATCCATGCAGCACAGAAAGTCATCTCCACCTTGAATCTGATATATTACATGGAGGAATTCTGAGGGATAGAGCTAGAATAGGATGAAACACTCAGTCTTCTTGATCATCATAAAATACTAGGACTAACCCCTATCCCACCCCTAAGGTTGTTCTTTGTTGATGGGCCAGTTCTTGTGATAAGCAGATTACGTAACATATGAAAGAGCCTGTTTTTTGTTGGAATGAGGAGCAATATGATTTGGGAATTGAGGAGGAAATTCTATGGTGCAAACCTTCTAAAGGCAGGCATAGACAGAATGCTGTAGGCAGGGATACCTAATGCAAGTTGTGCATCTCTAAAGTATCCATCTGCAGAAGTTTAGCAGGATACCTAAAGTTCTGTGGGGAAAGTCACATGAAGAACTGGTGGCTATCAGATGAAGAAACCAGTGCTCTACTGAGCCTGTCTGCAGTAGTTGAGGGCTGCAGAAAAGAGAAGGCAATAAAATTCTCAATATTTGGACGTGCAGAGGAAAACAAATAGGACAGCACAAAGTTGAATCCAATCTGTAGCTGCAGAGGTAGTAGGGTGGAGCTGACTGTGCCTTAAAGGGCCAGTTTTACATTCCAAAAGAAAAATCCGTATAGGACTCCCTCTGTACCAGAAATGGACATGGATAAGCCAACAGTTGATAAAGATTTGGAGGAGGCACTTAGTATGAGAATAGCGTTTGAAGAAAGTGTATAAAATAGCTTAAGAGAAAACAAATTACACAATCTGTCAAAGCTATGCTAAAAGATAAACATTTTCCAATGCTTATAATCATGAGGAAAAGTTAAAGAAACAGGACTTATTCTCATTTAGAATAGAGGGGAATTCAAGGTGACCTAACAGAGCTTAGAAAAGTCATATGTGAAGCAGGGAAAAAAAATATTGTTCACACCAGACAAAGATTCAAAAACGTTAAGAAAATTAGCAAACTGGGGAAAAAACTTTTCCCACAAAGTATAATAAACACATGGAATAAGGTACCGGGCATGATAATTAAAGAAAACAAAAGAAAACTATAAATGAGTTCAAGGGAGACAGATTATTTTCTGATGGTGGAACGCTTGAGGAATGTGGCATATATGTAGGAAGACGAGATAAAGATGAACCAAAAAATCAGGGAAGGCATCTTAAGCATTTTTCTGTTGCTTAAGTTTCTTAAGAAAATTAATTCTGAACAAATTTAGGGCCCAATCTTACAGACATTTATCATGAGTAGTCCCACAGAATTCAGCGTAGGCAGTGTTTGTAGGACTGGATCTTAATGCAGTGCCCTCTATCAATATAAAATAAAGAACCTATTTTGCAACTAAAGAGATTTATGAATTTAAAAATGTACCTTGTTCTCTTTGTATCTAGTCAGATCTGCTATACAATACTCTTTGAATAATTTATCATAGTATTTCTTTGCCAGTCTCTTTTCCCTGTAACCAGAAAGACAACGTTATTGATTAAGCATATGGAAAATATAGAGTGAGGTCAAATAACAAACCCTAATACATAGTTAGGTCATTAACAGGACAGGGGCATTGCAAGTTTGTTTTCTCTAATGAATAAAAGTTGTAGTGGTAAAAATAAAACAAAATAGACAGCTTGATGAGAGTAATTGTCATGAAACAGTTTTAATTTCTCTTGAAAATAATTATGTATTTTAAAAAATATATTTAAAGCACAAACAAAGCATAATTTTGAAGTTGTACTCTTCTGGGTTTCTGAATGGTAGTTTAGTTATCTTAGGGAATGAACAATAGTTTATTCATTTCTGTGTCATTAGTTCATTTTGACACAGAGCTGTATTACTTTATCTCCTACCCTTTTTTAATTTATTAAGAGTTCAAAGCAATAAGAACAAATATGCATGGCAATTTTTAATGAATGAGGAAAAAGAAAAATACAAAGTGATCTAAAAATAATGTTTTATTATAGCCCAAGTTACCAATTCATGTCCACTGCATCTTCCTCTTTCCACAGGAATCTATAGTTTTCTCTTACAATATCAAGGTCTGTCTTGTCACTTGCTCTGTGAAAGGGTACATTTTTCTTAAAAAGCAGATCTAGTATTAAAATTAAATTTTACAGCACCAGAAACAAAATAATCAGATCATTTGGCAAACAGTGGTATTTTATAATTCCTTGTATTATTTATTGAGTTGGCCATACTGGGAGATACTTTTAAGAAGCAACAGTTGTTCATGAGAACAAGTATTATTCACTAACTTTTTTCCTAAAAGAATAAAAGAGCTTGCTTCCAACGTTAAAGTCACTCATAACTATTAAAACTGTGTGAGATTTAATTCTATATGAAAAGTTATGTTTAAAACATAAAAAGAGGATTATCTGCAGCTCAGAACAAGGGTTTAGCTTCCCTGGGCAGATGTTTAGTGATATTCCAGACTTCACAAGTCTCCTGGGTTCAGATTGCCAAAACAGTGCAGGGGATTTATCCACACATCTTCATTAACATTAATGAAGAACATGTAAATAACTGCCTGCAATTCTTAGGAAACCTCAACCCTAGTAACTAGCCTCTCGTGACTTTGGTAAATTTGATAATTATCCTTTAAAAATTGCCCTGTACTCCAAATGGCAAACAATTTTACTACCTGCAAGCAGTTATTTCACCATTATGTGCTGCAACCCAGAAGTCTGAGTACAAGATTGTCATTTTCTACTATCAGAGCAGCATTTGACATTCTAGGAATGAGAGTTGAACACTCAGCAAATACTGGATTATTTTAGATACACCCTCCATGTGTTGTCTTTTAATCTACATAACACAAAAATAAAATCTCCCATCTGAATTTCATCTAACTTTTCATGTATAGATACAAATTGTATAAAGTTAAATCAAGACAACTAACAATTCTCCACATCTAATTCAGATATTTACAACTACCATAGTTGGTACATTTTAGCAAAAAGGTTAATGTTTCGATACACAAATAAATCTCTGGCCACAGAATTAATTACCCAGCATATATTTTAGCAGTATTATATAACAGGTAAGTATGTTCTCTAACGGTACTTACCCTGAACGTTGGAAGTCCTCCTTTTTGCCACCATAGTATAAAATGTAGTCATTCACAAACTTTTTATGTCTTGCATACTGAATAAAGCAAAATTAAGGAATTTATTTTCAGTGTTCTCTCTCACTCCACGGCTGGTTTATTTGGCTTCACACTAACATTACCTCAGATAAAAAGATTAGTACAAAATTGTTTCTACAGTATAAAGGATTTAAAGAAGCTATTACCAAAATTAATTTTAATGGAAAGGAAGTTTAAAGAACTCTTATTATAAATTAATTCTCAACAGAAGAATTTTAGGACAGAATTTAAATTGTAAAACCCATCCACATGCTACACCCTTATAATATTTTTTAGTATATTTGAAGATGTACAACAGATCTTTAATCCAGCCTTTACTGTGTATTCCACTGCATTCAAACTAGAGTTCCATGATACTCCAACTTTGGTTTAAAATATATCTATCATTTTTGCCTGATATAAATATAAAATTACTAATGAAATGAGGCATTTTTATGTACTTTTCAGTGTCAGTGTAAAAGCAATAACAAACTTCAGTAGATAACTTCTTTAGGACCACAATACCAAGTTACAGGAAATTATATTGAGACAGAAATGTCCTAACAGTTTTACAGATGTAATTTGACACGTTTTATTTCCATTTGTGGAGGTGCTTGTTTCTAGAATAATGCGATTGTTTATATGGTTTTGTTTTTGCTTGTTCACAAGCAAAAGCAAAACCGTATAAACAATCACGTTATTCTAGAAATAAGCACCTCCACAAATGGAAATAAAACAGTAAAACAATAACTTAAAATATATAACAAATTTCTCAGACATTTATGGAACTACAGAATTGGAAATAAATTATCTTTCTGGCATGTTCTTAAGCCACATGTTAAATTGAGTTCAATAAGAATTCATTTCTGTCAACCTACTGCCTGCATTAAAATCATTTTATAGAATAAAATATTGTACATGTATTTTCTGGTAGAAGTTTCCAAATGTGACACCATCATAGGGCCTAATCACATCAGCCACAATATCAGAGGCTCGTTCACCTGCACATCTACCAATGTGATATATGCCATCATGTGCCAGCAATGCCCTTCTGCCATGTACATTGGTCAAACTGGACAGTCTCTACATAAAAGAATAAATGGACACAAATCAGAAGTCAAGAATTATAACATTCAAAAACCAGTTAGAGAACACTTCAATCTCTCTGGTCACTTGATTACAGACCTAAAAGTGGCAATTCTTCAACAAAAAAACTTCAAAAACAGACTCCAACAAGAGACTGTTGAATTGGAATTAATATGCAAACTGGATACAATTAACTTAAGCTTGAATGGAGACTGGGAGTGGATGGGTCATTACACAAAGTAAAACCATTTCCCCATGTTTATCCCCCCCCCACTGTTCCTCAGACGTTCTTGTCAACTGCTGGAAATGGCCCACCTTGATTATCACTACAAAAGGCTCCCCCCCTCTCCCCCCGCTCACCTGCTGGTAATAGCTCACCTTACCTGATCACTCTCATTACAGTGTGTATGGTAACACCCATTGTTTCATGTTCTCTGTGTATATAAATCTCCCCACTGTATTTTCCACTGAATGCATCCGATGAAATGAGCTGTAGCTCACGAAAGCTTATGCTCAAATAAATTTGTTAGTCTCTAAGGTGCCACAAGTACTCTTTTTCTTTTTGCGAATACAGACTAACACGGCTGCTACTCTGAAACCTGTCAATCTTAATGTTATTCTTCAAAAATTAAAGACTTAAATTCAAGAATACAGTTAGGTGCCTTTATTTAGCAAGGCTACAGACTGTATACATCATGATGAAGCTGACTAACTTCAAGGAACTCCAGCTTCTTTGTCACCATTATCAACTTTGATAATGGTAGGCAACTGACTTGCCCCTACAACTGGAGGAAAAGAATAAGATGGTAGCAGTAGAGAAATTATCCAAATCTGGCACTTATACAAAGTTCCATGAAAACAGAAACACTATGGCTAACGAATTCTACTACGGGCTCTTTAATCACAGCTTCTTCTTCAACTGCTTGTTTTTACAACTTGAGGATCATTAGCCACGTGCAGATGACTATGTAGAAAGAGTGCAGGAAAATTAATGTAAAGGTGACACAGCATGGTTAATAATTTCGGAGGAACACCTGATTTTGTTACCTAAGCATAGCTCACTCAGCTAGAGCTACTGGATTTTATCCTTTTTTGGTCAATGAACCTTCTGGCCTTTAGCCAGGACATCACATTATTATAAAACATTTATAGCTCTATCAACTTACACAGCAAAAACAAAATATAAGACAAATTCCCTGCCCCGAAGAATTTACAATCTAAACAATACAGAACAAGAAACAGGTTAACACAGTTCAGCTCAGAACATCGTCATCTTGTAAATGTGCCTTTAGTTCGTGGCACTGTGTGTACTCAAGATTTTTGTGATAGACCTGACAAAGTACGAGCGTTTCTTAAAAATGAAGACCGAGCTGAAGAGTAAGTCTGAATTAAGTAGCACAAATGACAATTTCTCTCTATCGCAATGAAACGTGGCATTTCCAAATGTTTGCATGCTCCACATATGGATTGCCACAAGTCCACACAATATACCCATATTAATCCCAATATAACTAAAAAAATACAAGTTCTACTGTTTCCAAATAATTTACAATCATGGCCATATCAGGCAGGAAACTAATTCACTTCGGCTACTGAGACACTAGATAGATAATAATAAAAAACAACAATGCTAAGACTTACACAGGGCTATTTGAATTTCATCATGCAATACGGCAAGTCTCTGGTCGTTATGACACTCTGTACCTCAGAGTGGCACCCTGGAACCCCTATATTCACCACTGAGACGGATAACCCAGGTTAGTGGGACAGAGGGCTCAGCGATTACACAATCCAGGCTGCACCACGGGAACCCCGTTACAGTGATTTCTCTGTACTAGTGAGAGGAATATGAGCACAATATCAAGAAGAAGCAGCATTACTACAGTACCTTCCAAATAACTATTTCATAGGATCATTGAACAAATCTATATGTGCTTAACATAAAGGTCATACAGTATTACAAATCCTCCAAACATAAAGATGGTTGCAGATATGTCCTGGAGGATGTTTTTACCAAACTGGATTGGCAGCCTATAAAATAGCTTACATCATTTATGGCAGATAAATCACACAAATCTGTCAGGTGTATTACATTCTTTTCAATTCAATTAAATGAGTGCAATCTGCCACAAAATGCTACATCCCCCTACTGCTAAATTCCAAAGAGCAACTGCTAGGCAATAGTAAAGATGACTTGATGGAAAGTTCAACAGAGGAGTTATATGATCTTTCCCCTATCTACTATATAACTGGTTAGTTTCACTGTAAAAATAATTATTTTCATGCTAAACTTCAAAGAAAAATATGTTAAAAGGGAAATGTTGTAGCTAATGAAGATAGCAGTTTAGGACTGAAGCATTAAAGTAATCAAACCTGATTATGCCATTCAAAATAAAAGAGCTAAAATAAACAAAATGTGATATTAAACAGGTGTACAGTATCACATCTGTGGAGGACACTACTTGGGATAATCCTTTCTTGAACTGTCTTTTGGATTAATTATTGTGTTCTTGGCCTTCCAGCAGAAATATAAGTTTATTCAGATAATGATAGTCTCAGATAGAATTGTGAAGCAGCAAGGTCTGCTTGCGCTAAAAATCAAAGTACCTTGATCCAACACCACATGTTTAGTAATTGAGTCTTAGATATGGAACTCACAGCTACAACTTAAACACTAACTGCAATGAGGGACAGTTTGGAAACCCCTTTCATAGGTGGATCCGAAATACCTAGTTATCGGTGGTGGACAGATGATGATCGGAAACAATACCCAGTCTCTGCTGGTGCATGGAAATTCCCCAGGCAACAAGGAGACTCACATGAAAGTGTCCCTGACAGGAGCATTTCTCCCCAACTGAAAGAAAAGTTGAAAAGCTGAGAATGTGTTTTTACCAATATAAACAAATAATCAAAGGATACAGCATCCATGGCTATCAAATGAAATCTCCTATTTCTTGCTTCTTCCCTGTTAACAGAAATAATAATTTTGCTTGAGTAAAAGTTCAGTTTAAATATAAAAATCTCCGATAGAAGTGACCATTACCTATCCCATTCTTCTGCTGCAATTTGTCTGTCAGCCACCTTGACCTGTTTTACTTTCTGGAATGGTTTTATGAGTAGGGCATCTTCATTACTTGTCCTATGCATGGGGAAAAAGTAAGGAATAAATTATTCAGAAAGTTTTCATATACAATAAGTTCTAGTACACCAAAGTCAGCTTGGGTAGTCAGCACCTTGAATGTTCTAAGGAAAAGGTTGTTGTATAGATTAGCATTGTTTGCCTCTTGTTAAGACAAGTCTATACTACCATGTTGCAGTGGCACAGCTGCACCAACGGAGCTGCGCTGCTGTAGAATATCTGGTGAAGATACGCTATGTTGACAGGACAGTGCTCTCCCGTCAGCATAATTACTCCACCTCCGCAAGAGGCGGAAACTATGTTGGCAGGAGAGCATCTCCCGCTGACATAGCGCAGAGTGGACACTGCTTTAAGTCAATGTAACTTACATCGCTCTGGCTGCATGCCAGAACAAAGGGTAGAGAAGACGATTTCTTTGAAACAGCTCCCAATGTTTAATATTTCATCTAGCAACTAGAATGGTTAATTAAGGCACTTGGAAAAACGTTAAAACTGAACAAAAGGGTCAATAATTTAATAGAAGACAGCTAAAAATTCTAAAAAGAGAAAAAACACCTACGTTTATTTAATGGTTAAAGCACCTTCAAGGTCAGATACAAAATGGAGTCAGACACTACAAAACATTTCCCCTTACTTCCACTACAGAAAAATATAAAAGGCTCCCCGAAAAGGTCCCAGAAAACCTGACTGGAATGGAGCCTGACAGAAGATTAAGGAAAGAGTCACAAACAGATCCTGGAACAAAAAAATAATTCCTGAATCAATTCAGAACAAATCTGTAGTGTTGTGGGTGAACTGTCAAGGAAGCACAGTGCCACAGCAGAAAAAACTTCCCCAATAAAAGAAGATGGTCAGACAGCAAAATTCAGGGTCACAAAGTGTATGAATCGCTAAATGAAATTGACAAGGCTGAGCTTAAATGAGCATCTCAAGGGCTAAGTGTAAGTTAACGGACCCAATTTGTTGGTCTCTTGAAGCCAGGCTTAACAGAGAGAACAGAATAGAAGAAATTAAATAATAATCAAGCAGCGTTAGTGTTTCCTTTCCATGAGGTAGGTGTTTTATTCCTACAAAGCCTGCTGCCACCTGGCCTTGGTTCTTTTGATCTCTCTTTGCAGCTCCACAAGTCCTGGTGGGTGGTAACAAAGTGATACGAAATTGAACAGAGCAGCCAAAACCCAGCCGTTGATGCTAGTGCTTGGAAAAATGAAGCACTCAGCTGTGAGATATTAGAGGCATACAGACACCAGATGGACGTGGCAGAACTGATCTTTCTCAGTTGCTCCTTGGAGACAACATGCTCTGACAAGCCTGAGGAGGCAGTGGCATAGGAATCAAACGTATATTTTTATTTTTCATGAACAGCTTCACTATGTCAGAGTTAAAAAACGAGGGTATTCTATATATATAGCTATAAGTCATATGCACACAAGAAACGTAATGTACAATGCCAGTATTACAATGCATTACCTTTTATTCCTTTGGTCAGATTTCTCTCCACTCTCATCATCACTAAAATCAGAATCATAGCCTCCCCGGCCATGTACCTGGAAATAATTAAGAAATAAAGGAAAATTACCATAACACAATAAAATTAGAATCTTAGAAATGTAGGACTGGCAGGGACATCGAGCGGTCATCTAATCCAGCCCAATGCAGTGAGTTAGGACAAAGTATAGCTAGATCATCCCTGACAGGTGTTTGTCTAACCTGTTCTCCAACAATGGGGATTCCACAATCTTCCTTGGAAGCCTATTCCAGTGTTTAACTATCCTTACAGTTAGATCGTTTTTCCTAATATCTAACCTAAATCTCCTTTGCTGCAGATTGAGGGCTTTGTCTACATGGCACAACAGATCCAGATTACAAGGGTCTAAACTGTAGAGTGCAAAGTAAAAGATACATAATTTCCCATTTCAGGACTTCATCAATGCAAACTAGATTCATTTTGAGAACTAAAAGGTAACTATATCAACACAAACTGGATATCTTTTAGTTCACGCCAACAGGGTCTACATGGGCAGTAAGAACACAACATGTTAGTGACCACAAACCATACTGGTACTGCCCACTGTCAAAGACACAATACTGGACTAGATGGCTATTGGGTCAGTCTAGAAATTCCTACATTTCCACAACCATTATCCTCAGACAAAAACCTGAGAAAACAGGTAATCCTAACACTCTGCCTTGAAGGTTAACCAACTTGGATTCCACTGAACCTACAGGAAAATCAAATGTCAGAGACAATGCTCTTCCAGACTCCAAATGCTCAAAGCTATGAATGCTTATTTTTCATCAATTGTGGCAATTTTGCCCAGACAATCTCTTAGGTAGCCAGGACCAAACCATATAGTGTTTTATATATCAAAATCAACACCAACACCATCCTGATGTGCAGACAGAATAACAAATATGGCTTAACAGTGAAATCTGCAGTGAGCTTAAACACAAGAAGTGCAAACTTGGACAGAAGACTAGGGAGGAGTATAAAAATATTTCTCGAGCATGCAGGGGAGTAATCAGGAAGGCCAAGACACAACTGGAGTTGCAGCTAGCAAGGGATGTGAAGGGTAACAAGAAGGGTTTCTACAGGTATGTTAGCAAGAAGAAGGTGGTCAGGGAAAGTGTGGGACCCTTACTGAATGGGGGAGTCAACCTAGTGACAGAAGATGTGGAAAAAGCTGAAGTACTCAATGTTTTTTTTTGCCTTGGTCTTCACAGAGAAGGTCAGCTCCCAGACTGCTGTACTGGGCAGCACAATATGGGGAGGAGGTAAGCAGCCCTCAGTAGTGAAAGAGCAGGTTAAGGACTATTTAGAAAAGCTGGACATGCACAAGCCCATGGGGTCGGATGCAATGCATCAGAGGGTGCTGAGGGAGTTGGCTGATGTGATTGCAGAGCCATTGGCCATTATCTTTGAAAACTCGTGGCGATCAGGGGAGGTCCCTGACTATTGGAAAAAGGCAAATATAGTGCCCATCTTTAAAAAAGGGAAGAAACAGAATCCGGGGAACTACAGACCAGTCAACCTCACCTCAGTCCCTGGAAAAAATCATGGAATAGGTCCTCAAGGAATCCATTTTGAAGCACTTGTAGGAGAGGAAGATGATCAGGAACAGTCAACATGGATTCACCGTGGCAAGTCATGCCTGACCAACCTGACTGCCTTCTATGATGAGATAAATGGCTCTGTGGAGATGGGAAAAGCAGTGGACGTGATACACCTTGACTTTAGCAAAGCTTTTGATAAGGTGTCCCACAGTATTCTTGTCAGCAAGTTAAAGGAGTATGGATTGGATGAATGCACTATAAGGTAGCTAAAAAGCTGGCTAGATTGTCGGGCTCAGCAGCTAGATGTCTAGTTGGCAGTTGGTATCAAGCAGAGTGCCCCGGAGGTCGGTCCTGGGGCTGGTTTTGGTTCAACATCTTTATTAATGATCTGGATGATGGGATGGATTGCACCCTCAGCAAGTTCGCGGATGACACTAATCGCTAAGTAGGTAGATACAATGGAGGGCAGTAAATACGGTCCAGAGTGATCTAGACAAATTGGAGGATTGGGCCAAAAGAAATCTGATGAGGTACAAGAAGGACAAGTGCAGAGTCCTGCCCTTAGAACGGAAGAATCCCATGCACTGCTACAGGCTGGGGACCAACTGGTTAAGTGACAGTTCTGCAGAAAAGGACCTGGGGATTACAATGGACGAGAAGCTGCATATGTGTCAACAGTGTACCCTTATTGCCAAGAAAGCTAAAAGCATATTGGGCTGCGTTAGTAGGAGCATTGCCAGCAGATCAAGGGAAGTGATTATTCCCCTCTACTTGGCACTGGTGAGGCCACATCTGTAGTATTGCGTCCAGTTTTGGGCCCCCCACTACAGAAAGGATGTGGACAAATGGTAGAGTATCCAGTGGAGGACAGTGAAAATGATTAGGGGGCTGGGGCACATGACTTATAAGGAGAGGCTGAGGGAACTGAGCTTATTTAGTCTGCAGAAGAGTGAGGGGGATTTGATAGCAGCCTTCAACTATCTGAAGGGGGGTTCCAAAGAGGATGGAGCTCGGCTGTTCTCAGTGGTGACAGATGACAGAACAAGGAGCAATGGTCTCAAGTTGCAGTGGGGGTGGTCTAGGTTGGATATTAGGAAAAACTATTTCACCAAGAGGGTGGTGAAGCACAGGAATGGGTTACCTAGGGAGGTGGTGGAATCTCCATCCTGAGAGGTTTTTAAGGCCTGGCTTGACAAAGTCCTGGCTAGGATGATTTAGTTGGGGGTGGTCCTGCCTTGAGCAGGGGATTGGACTAGATGACCTTCTGAGGTCTCTTCGAACCCTAATCTTCTATGATTCTATTATCTTGATTGCACTAGAAAGCAAACTGGGAGCTAGAACATACTATAGAGAACAGGTACAATGTTATGATAATTTGCAAATTACTCTGTAAGTTATGTCCCTTCTGCTATTCTCTGTCTTTTCTATTTACATTGCTAGTCCCTGCCCCAGAGTTTATCTATTACTCTGTATAGTGCCTAACACAATGCTTAGCCCCTAGTGCTATTATAATACCAACAAACAGTAACGATAGCAGCAGAACCAATAAACAAACAGAAAGCCACATCCTGCACTAGATGTAGCTTCCAAGTCACCTTGGAAGAGTAGCCTCACATAGAGTACATTGCAGTAACCCAATCTGGAGTTCAATGGTACAGGTAACTGTGTCTCGGTCAGTATCAGAAAAAAGCAGTCACAGTGACCTAACTACTGGCAGTTGGAAAATCGCATTTCTGACTACCAACAATACCAGGTGAATGTTACAATGGTGCACCTAGAGTGGTTACACCCTGACACCTGCTAATATCATTCTGGAGAGAAAACAGCATCTTCTGCTAGGCTGCTTGCAAGCTTGTGGACCAAATATATATTATGCTGAATACCACTGTCTTTGTGTAGCAATGTTCAAGGAGATTAAAAAAAAAAGTTTGTTTTTTTTAAACTTTAATTTTATTATTGGGTTGTTGGAGTTTTGTTTTCCTTCCTGTTCTTCGTTTGAAACTACAGTTTCTCTCTCTCTCTTGTGCCTCCTCAAAGACAGAGACAAGACTGGTCTGGAGCAATAACATCCCTCCAGGATTCTCCATGCAACTCAGTACATTCCCCTGCTTCCCATCCCACACACAATACTATGGAGCCCAAAGAGGACCTATCACTTCTTGAGGAAAAACAGAGAGATGATAAGTGGGTACTTCCTGGAGCACTGTGGAGAGATAAGTGGATTTAATTAGCAATACAGAGTGCGGAGGGGATCAGCTTGCTATTCATCCATTAACTAAAAATCCAGTTCTCGTATTCTCTTTTCCACATTTCAGAAGTGTAGGAGCTGAGGCATTATCTGAAGAGTTGTAGCAACACCAAGTAAACTACATATATTGGGAAGGTGCACCCCGCATATATGTATTTCCTAATTAGCCATTATTAATTCTGGCCTCTATTTTTCAGGAAACTCCCCAAGAAACTAAACAGCAAAAATAAAACAAACATAAAAGCTGACAGGTGCAACTCTACACTATTGCAGTGTCAGAGTAGCCAGCGTGTGCTGGCACAGAAGCTGCAATGGTGCAATAAATCCTCCCAGCACAACCCCTCAATGCTCTAAACCAGTGATACTCAGACTGAGGCTCTCAAATCCAAGTAGCTCTTTGAAGCATATGATACTAAACCACTGGTATGATTGAATATATAGTACTATAGTAAATGAAACAATTAAAATTCACACTACTGTGGCTCTTTTGGGTAAGGCTGATTGCTAGTTTTACTCCTGAACCACTGAGGTTTGAGTATCTAGACCAGTAGTTTTCAAACTGTGGGTCACGACGCAGTACTGGGTCGCAGAATGTAAGGCACTGCGTCGCGGCGGCTCTGGTCAGCACCGCCGACCGGGCTGTTAAAAGTCCTGTCGGCAGTCCTTCCCGGCTAAGGCAGGTTAGCCCCTACCTGTTCTGACGCCACGCTGTGCCCTGGAAGCGGAAGCAGCAAGTCCGGCTCCTAGACGGGCGGGCCACGGGGCTCCCTGAACTGTCCCTGCCCAAGCACCAGCTCTGCACTCCCATTGACCGGCTGGGGGCAGGGCGGTGCCTGCGGGTGAGAGCTGAGCGCCTCTGTCTAGGAGCCAGACCTGCTGCTGGCTGCTTCCAGGGCGCAGCACACTCGGTGGTGCCAGGAGAGAAGGGAAGCCTGCCTCTGCACCCTGGGTGCACCACTAATCGGGAGCCGCCGGAGGTAAGCCCGCACCCCAATCCCCTGCCCCAGCCCTGAGCCCCCCCTCAAACCCAGAGCCCCTTCCTGCACCCCAAGCCCCTCATCCCCATCCCCACCCCAGAGCCCACACCCCCAGCCCAGAGTCTGGACCCCCTCCCGCACCTCAACCCCCTGCCCTGAGCCCCCTCCTGCACTCCAAGCCCCTCATCCTGGCTTCACCCCAGAGCCTGCAACCCCAGCCCAGAGCCCTGACCCCCTCCCACATCCCAACCCAGAGCTCTCTCCTGCCCCAAACCCCTCATCCCAGGCCCCATCCTGCACCCCCAGCCTGCACGCCCAGCCCAGAGCCCTGACCTCCTCCCACATCCCAACCCCCAACCCCAACCCACAGCCCCTTCCCACAGCCTGAACCCCTCATTCCCAGCCCCACCCAACAGCCTTCACCCCAGCACCCAAACCCTCTGCCCCAGCCCTGAGCCCCTCCCACACCCCAGACCTCAACAAGGGTGTAGTTCCCAGCACTGATGCACTGTCTACACTGGCACTTTACAGCACTGAAACTTGCTGCTCTCAGGGGGGTGTTTTTTCACACCCTTGAGCGAGAAACTTGCAGTGCTATAAATTGCCAGTGTAGACAAGCCCTGAGTTTAATTCGCTCAGAAACATAGTGCAGCATGTCTCAATGAATAATTAAAGTTTAGGAAATCATTTTCCCCATTTTGGGAAAAAAATATAAGAACCTGAAAGTCATCTAATTTATTGACCAACATGCAGCTTTTCATACTAAGGAGAATTAACTTTTCTTTAGAAAAGAAACAAAACACTGAAACAGCAAAATTAAAACAAGTGACTCCAATTATGTTTGGTTGCCAATTTAAACCATGAACATTTAAATCAGCCCTACTTTTTGATTCAGTTAACAGGCTGGTGTATGCATCTTAGATACAAATCGCTATTAGCAATAGCACCCACACGAGCAACCTCAACAGAACAGAGCAGTCATTGGAGAAGAGAAGGGAAGCCATCTACACTGGGGTGAAGGCACACTGGTAGAATGGGCAAGGAGTAAAGACGTTAGCAAAATAAAGTCAAAACGTTTTAATAAGGACAGTTCTCAAATGATAAAGGCAAAAGCAAGAATATAAAGGTAACTAAGAAGATCAAGAGACCAGAGGTTTGTAGGGCACCAAAGAAAAAAATCTCATTGAAAATTTGCCAAAGATACTGGTCAGGATTCACTGACAAAACAAATGTTCATGCTTCAAAAACTACGGCGTCGCCTCTGCCTTCCACAGGAGCGTCAGAAGCGGACAGAGAGGAACGGGAGTACCGAGGAGGACCACGGCAGTCCAGGAGAAAAGCGCCCCCACCCCGTCTAGTGAGGGGCCTCTCCCTCGCCCCTGAACGCCCCTTCCCCTGGAGGACGGTGGGGGGGGGGGGTCTCCTTGCTGCCCAGTGGCTGCCCCGGGCCCCGCTCTCCCCTCCCCAGGGAGCGCCGCGGCTGTTACTCACGGCCTGAGAGAGCAGCAGCTGGGCCGGCACCATGGTTGTCGGCTCGGTCAGCGCCCTGGGACGAGCGCCGGGGAGCGCTTGCCGCAGGCGAACCGGGCGCCGGTTGCGCGCTTCCAACCCCGACCGAGCGAGAGGCGCAGGCAGGGCCGGCTCCCAGCGGCGTCCCTCCGCGTGAAAGGCCCGGCCGGAAACCGGGGCCGGGGCAGGAGGGAGCCGGGCGGGGGGCAGGGCTCACTCAACGCGGCCTTACGCAGTGAGCGCCGCGGCCGGGTCGGCGAGGCTCCCGCCCTGGAGCGGGGCTGCCTTGGAGGGACGGAGACACCGGGGGAGACAGGCTCGCCGCCGGGGAGACCCCTGCTGCGCGGGCCCTCCTCGGGGACGCGGGGCTTGGCGCAGCGGGCAGGTGGATGGGCGGGATTCGAACACAGAGCTGGCCCCGAGGCACGCAACTGACCAGAGCTGGGAGCAGAGCGAGCTAAGCCTGGGGTGGGGGAGGTTAAATAAAATCTCCTCTGCACCCGAGAGCTGTACTGAGCGTGCTCAGGCATCCCCTGTCCCTCCCTATGCTGCCGCCTGGCTCTTCCCGCTTAGCCTGCGATCAGCGCAGCTGTATCCACCGCCGAAATGCACAGCTGCGGTAGGGCTTTGCTAGTGTTCTGGGTTCGAGTGCTGCGTGCCTTGTGTGAAGCGACTCCTCCAGCCCCTTGGCCTGATGAGCTTTTTAGGGTTCCTAACACAGCTGCCGCCTTCTTGGCCGCACAGGTTGCAGAAGGCTCTGGTAGACACTCGCTCTGCAACACTATCCTGCCCGCCTAGTCTGGAGAAAGTTTACCATACTGAAGACAGTAAAAAAGAAAACTGAGCGCCAGGAATATGCCAAGGTATTGAGTTAAAAGAAAAGTGCAAAGTCAATAAGGTTCCCTTCCTTCTCACTACAGCACCATCTCAGGGACTATGCTCTAGGAATTCCCCCAGGGCTTTATCATGCCAGTAGGGGAGAGATGGCAAAGGGGGTGGAATAACCATAGGCATAATTTGACTTCTATGGGGGAAGCTCCAGTCAAGCCAATGTGGCTGTGCATGGGGGGAAGGACAAATTCTGTGCCAGCCCAAAGGGACACCATTTCAGATGGGGAGGGGACAACTTTAACTGTGATTCCAGGGGCTGTCTTATCTGCACACACAGACACACTTATCTGCACACGCACGCACACACACACACACAAAACTTAGAGATTATCTGACAGGAGCACTATCTAATTCCTATATCAAGAAAGAAAATTAAATAAATATTACACCGATGCAGCTCTAATACTAACATGTTCTGACATCTTGTGGCAAGTCACTTAAGGGACACTGGTTAGGTTTAAAATTGTAATGTATATTCTCTCTCAGAGATACTCTTACTAAAGTCAGAAGGGACCATTGTGATCATCTAGTCTGACTTCCTGCACCTTGCAGGCCATAGAATGGCATTTACTCACTCCTGTAATAGACCCCTAACCTCTTGCTGAGTTTCCAAAATCCTCAAATCGTGGGTTAAAGACTTCAAGTTACAGAGAGTCCACCATTTACACTAGTTTAAACCTACAAGTGACTCATTCCCCATGCTGCAGATGAAGCAAAAAACCACCAGGGTCTCTGCCAATCTGACCAGAGGAAAATTCCTTCCCCACCACTAATTCAGTGATCAGTTAGACCCTGAGCATATGGGCAAGATCCACCAGAAAGATACCCAGGAAAGAATTCTCTGTGGTAACTCAGAGCCCTCCTCATCCAGTGGCCCATCTCCAGCTGTCGGAGATTTTTGCTACAGGCAGTTACCAGTGGGCCACACACCATTGTAGACAGTCCCGTCATACCATCTCCTCCATAAACTTATCAAGCTGTTTATAAACAAGATCATCCAGATGTTTTTGTATGATATTCTGATCCTCCTCCATATTGGCAATACCTCCCAACTTTGTGTCATCTGCAAATGTTATTAGCACACTCCCACTTTTTGTGCCAAGGTCAGTAATAAAAAAGTTAAATAAGATTGGTCCTAAAACTGATCCCTGAGGAACTCCACTAGTAATCTCCCTCTAATCTGACAGTTCACCTTTCAGTATGACCCATTGTAGTCTCCCCTTCAACCAGTTCCTTATCCACCGTTCAGTTCTCATATTTATCTCCAATTTAACTAATAATTTCTCATGGGAAACTATATCGAATGCCTTACTGACATCCAGGTAGATTAGCTCTACCACATTTCCTTTCTCTAAAAATTAGTCATCTTCTCAAAGAAAGATATGAGTAACTTTGTTACTGCCTCTTGAATCCAACAATTGAAACAACTGTAGAAAAATCTACAATTATTTTCTGTCATTTAGGCTGCTTACTTTTTGCAGTTCACCAACTTGGAACAGATCATTTAACTTAAGGTGACATCCTAACAGGCCTTTCTTATCTTAATCACTCTGTTTATAAACAAAATTCCAACTCCCTGTCTCAGGGGCCCAAGCTGAGAGAATCTCCTATCTCCTGTGCAGAACTCATTACATTGCACACTCAGGCTGCCTGCCTGCAATCTGCATTTTGAGGGGTGCAAACTCTGCCCATGGGAATAATTTCCCTCAGTGACCCCAAGAGGGGAGGACAATCAGTCTTGGATTGTCCCTGAGCCATTAACAACAAAAACAAGAATATTTGCTGTTGAAGAAAGTCCCCAGGCAGTAGCTAGAAAGTGATGGTTGGGATACTCCCCTCAGTCTGTCTTTGGAGAGGGATGGGGAGATGGTATAGGGAAGAGAAGCTATCAGCCTAGGACAGAGGCTGTCAAACTTTTAGTTGGTGTGATCACATTTTGAGACAATGGCTCCGTTTCTCTCCCCATTCACAATTGCATAGATCTCCTAATCTAAGGGTATATCTACTCTGGTAGAGTTACATTGCAGTTACATTAACTCTCAGAGAGCGCTGAAGGGAAACCGCTGTTGTGTGTTCACATGGTCAGCTGCCTGCGCAATAGCATGTTCACACTTGCGGCACTTGCGTTGACATTCAGAGCAGTACACTCTAGGCAGCTATCCCACAGAGCATCTCTTCCTTTTCTGTCTCTAAGAGTTGTGGGAAGACAGAGGGGGCTGTGGGGCATCCTGGATCCTGTCCCAATGCGCCATGATGCATTGCTTCATATCCCAGCAATCCCTGTGCTTCCGTCCGCATTTGGCACCATCTTTCAGCCGTTTGTGTACTGTGCGCTCTGCCTCTTCGGTCTGCAGGAACGGATCCCGCACTGTTGACCAATATGCTGCTCGCTCTCTCTAACATGTCATGAATGGCAGTGGAGTTACTCCTTAAACTACAAAGCCAAGAGGAGTTCAACATTGATCTCGCCATGCATAGTAGCTATGACACGAGATTGCTTGTGGCATTCATGGAGGTGCTGACCGCAGTGGGCTCGGGAAACAAGCACTGAGTGGTGGGATCACATCGTCATGCATGTCTGGGATGACAAGTAGTGGCTGCAGAACTTTCGGATGAGGAAAGCCACATTCATAGAACTGTGTGATTAGCTTGCCCCAGCCCAGCAGCACAAGGACACAAGAATGAGAGCTGCCCTGTCGGAGAAGCGCGTGGTGATTGCACTGTGGAAGCTGGCTGCTCCAGACTGCTACCAATCGGTCACTAATCATTTTGGAGTGGGTAAGTCAACTGTTGGACTCGTGTTGATGGAAGTGTGCAGGGCCATTAATCGCATCCTGCTCCAAAAGACCGTGACTTTGGGTAAAGTGCATGACATTGTGGATGGCTTTGCACAAATGGGCTTCCTTAACTGCAGTGGGGAGGAGGGGTGATAGATGGCATGCATATTCCAATTCTGGCACCAGACCACCTAGCCACTGAGTACATTAATCGGAAGGGGTATTTTTCTATGGTTCTCCAGGTGCTTGTGGATCACCGTGGGCGTTTCACGGACATTAACGCAGGCTGGTCTGGAAAGGTGCATGATACACGCATCTTTCAGAACACTGGCCTGTTCAGGAAGCTGCAAGTAGGGACTTTCTTCCCAGACCAGAAGATCACTGTAGGGGAAGTTGAAATGCCCATTGTGATCCTGGGAGACCCTGCCTACACCTTAATGCTATGGCTTATGAAGCCATACATGGGGAACCTTGACAGCAGCAAGGAGCAGTTCAACAACAGGCTGAGCAAGTTCAGAATGACTGTTGAGAGTGCTTTTTGCCATTTAAAGGCCCACTGGTGCTGTCTATATGGGAGGCTGGACCTGGCCAATGACAATATTCCTATGCTTATAGCCACATGCTGTACACTACATAATATATGTGAAGGGAAGAGTGAAAGCTTCACTCAGGGCTAGACTGCTGAGGCTCAGCACCTGGAGGCTGAATTTGAACAGCTAGAGACCTGGCCTATTAGAGGGGTGCAGCATGGGGCCATAAGGATCAGGAATGCCTTGAGGCAGCAATTTGAAGCTGAAAGCCACTAATATTTGGTGTTATGCTTGGGAGTGCCGTGCTTGTAAAGCTAGGAGGTGATTGTGATTGGTGCAGACGATGCACTGTGAACATTTAAGAAAACTGCCTGTTGCTTTGCAGGTCTCCGTTTGCTTCAATTAATGGAATAAAGAGTGCTTTCAAACCAAAACAATTCTTTTATTAAAAAACACCAACCAAAGGAGAGAGACAAACAAAAAACCACATCAGCACTGTGGGGGAGAGGGGAAGGGATTGGAAGGGTCCCAGGAGGAGGTGGGGTCCTGGGATGGTTAAAGATTTGTGTATGTCCGGGTATCATATGCAACCTTGTCCTTTGGAGTACAGTGCAGCGGGTACTGTACTTCAGCAGGACTAAACTGCAGACAGACAGGTGTTGAGTGCAGCAGGTACTGAGAGTCCACAGGGCTGGACTGTGACGAGGCAGGAGTGGAACGTAGCGGGTACAGACTGGAGCCAGGAGGTTGATAAGAGTGTGTTAGTGGTGTCTGGGGGGTGCACGGGAAAGTTTTGCGACAGCGACTGCAAGGGAGGGCGGGCACGGAACAAGTGCTCATAGTGCCTGGAGTGTGTCCGCTTGGTGCTCTGTAACCTTTAAGAGCCACTCCATAGCTTCATTCTGGTGCACTGTGTTCTCCTTTCAGTCCCTCTTCTCACTGTCCCGCCACTCCTTCAATTCTTGTTTTTTTGGCCACGGACTGCATCATGACATCATGCAGAAAGTCCTCTTTAGTTCTTCATGGCCGCTTTCTAATTCTGTGCAGCCGTTCAGCTGGCAATAACAAAGAGGGAGGCTGGGCTCCCAAGGTCATATCTGTGAAGCCAAAATGCAACATTTTACAGAAGCAGTATTTAAACAGACCACTGATTCAGTGATTTAGAACACAGCCACCGTTCACATACTTGTCATTAACTGGCTGACCCCAGGCATGCACACATGAGCCACACTAACCACAGGGGCAGGGGAAATCAGTGTTCCAGGACCATACTGTACACTGGGCACGTAGTTC